ACCCCCAGCTGGGGAAAGGGGGGGGGGTAGGGTTGCCATATCCAGGCTTGGAAACTTCTGGGGAGGATAGGGACCGCCAAATTATCCATTTTCTCCAGGGGAACTAATCTCTGTAGTCTCGAGATGAGCTGTAATTCCAGGGGATCTCCAGCTCCCGCCTGGAAGCTGGCACCCTTATATATCACCTTATTCCCCCTGACATGTGTGAGCTAAACGTAAAAATGAAGCCCAGTGTCTCCATAATTCTATCCTTGGTGATGTTGCTTGGTTATTCTAAACTATGACAAGAGATAGCAGGGCAGAATATTAGGGACTGGCTTTTATTCATGTCTGTTGAGTGTTAAGGAGTTGTCTCAGCAGAAATCTTGCACAGTTACTTATAAAGATTTATGCTTTGAGTGTTGATCCAGATGGGAGGATTATGTGAAAAATCACTCCTGTTTAGAAGCTGGGATGGGTTGTCATCAGTCTTCCCCAGCCCTGCATGACTCAGAGTTTTGTCAGGGTGCAGGCACAAAACGTTTGTGTGCAAACCCCCCCCCCCCCCCCGGAAATTAAGCTGATTGTTAAATTGGGTTTCCCTGGTCAGACTGGAATTTCAAGGGTACTGTGGAAGAGGTGTGGAGCTCCTGATTGGGGTGTTTTTTGTGCCTCTGTTTTCTTTGGAGAAAGAAAATCATAAGACTGGAAGATACCTAATTACTTTGACCCAGCCCTGGCCTGCGAGACTGATCAAGCCATGTACAGGGTTGTGTGCATGTTTGTAATTGTGTTGTTGTACCATGTATGTACAGAATGTGTCTCTGAAGTACAGGAACCAGTTTTCAATAAGTTGTGTTTTAAAAAAAAAAACAACCCTCAAGTTTCTAGCCCCTAAAGGTGGCACCTTTAGGTCTGAAAAGTTGCATGAAATCTCAGGGTACGATGATAACATTAATCAATCAATCAAACGTATACCCCACCACTCCCTTGATGAGCAAGGCTCAGGGTGGTTTACATCAAAGCTCCCTCCTCGCCATCTATTATGTCATTGTACCCACTTCCACTAACACACAGGTGGCACAACCTCACCTGGTCAAATTAGGTTACTTGCGTCTTACTGCCCTCTGGCTTGATTTTATTGTGATGGAAATCTGTTTTAATAATCAATTTATGATATTATGTTGTCGAAGGCTTTCACAGCCGGAGTTCATTAGTTGCTGTAGATTTTCCGGGTTGTGTGGCCCTGGTCTTGGCATTGTAGAACCTGACATTTCGCCAGTAGCTGTGACTGGCATCCTCAGAGGTATAACACAGAAAGATGGAGTACTCTCCGTGTCAAGGTGAGAAGAAAAATGGTAGGCAGGTAACTTATATCTACTCCAGAAGGTGGGGTAGGGCTGCGTCATTATCTTGTAGGAGTTCCCCAGGCTATGAACATGCCAATGGAGGTTCTTTCCTGAGGATGTTCTTTCCTGAGGAAACAGGAAACAATCCATATCCAAAAGAACCTTTTGGAGGAAGTCTTCAGAATTCTGAGCAGGCAGAACCCAGCTGATTTTCACATGGTGAATGTAGCATGAGTGAGCATTATTGGTCAGGAAAAGGAGGATCCCACCCTGAGGTCAGGTATCAGATGTAGTTCTGTGACTCTTTCTGGCTCACTGTGCCTTTCTCTTCCCCACCACCTCTCTCCAGACCCACCCAGGAACCAACGTGACGGTTGTCGATTTGTTCGACCGCACTGAGAGCTTGAAACCGCTTTGGATGCAAGTGGAAGGGTTCAAAAGAGTCATGTACCCCATTATGCAGAACGCTGTCAATGGAGTCCACCTCATCTGTTACTCACAAGGTAATGTGGGCGAGCGCTTTAATCTTTAGACTCCCTGGGCTGATCAAGATGGGGTTTGCATGAAGATGTTGGTACCCCAGGGTCCCCAGTTATGAACGCAACAAAAGACAAAGGAAGGAGGGGAGGAAACTCATCCCAAAATGAACTAAATTAAGAACCAAAAGGTTAAGGAAATCAGAATATAAGGGCCCAAAAGTTCTGTGTCTAAAACTGAAGTATAAATATTGCCTAATATATGAAAATATACATGTCTTTATTACAGTAAGTGAACTCAAGGCTCCATGCACGTCTTCTGGTCAGGTTTTGGATTATTTCAGTCCACTCAGCCTAGAGGAAGTTGACAAATTGCTCTTGACTGCACATCCTACCACCTGCCACCTTGATCCGTGCCCATTGTGGCTCATTGAAGCGGGCCACGAGGGGTTTTGAGGTGTCCTAAGAGAGCCCTATCTCGGAGGGCTTGTTCCCTGGGCCACTTAAGGAGGCCGTGGTTTGTCCCCTCTTGAAAAAACCATCATGGGACCCAGCCGAATTGGCTCATTATCGGCCGGTTTCCAGCTTGCCCTATTTGGGCAAGTTAATTGAGAGGGCTGTGGCAGTTCAGTTACAGAGCTTTTTTGGATGACGCTTCCATCCTAGATCCCTTTCAGTCCGGCTTCTGCCCGGGACATAGAACGGAGACAGCACTGGTCGCCCTCACGGACAACCTTTGGAGGCATCTGGATTGAGGCGGATCGGCGGTGCTGTTGTTGTTGGATCTGTCGGCAGCGTTCGACACGGTCGACCACCTGCTACTGATCCACCGTCTGGCCGACACTGGAGTTCAGGGGCTCACCCTACAATGGCTTGCATCCTTTCTCCAGGGTCAGGGACAAAGGGTGGCACTAGGGGAACAGCTGTCTCGAAGGCACCCACTGATTTGTGGAGTGCCTCAAGGGGCAGTACTTTCCCCAATGTTATTTAAAATCTATATGCGCCCCCTTGCCCAGATTGACCGGAGGCATGGGCTTAGGTGTCAACAGTACGTGGATGACACCCAGCTCTATCTGTTGTTGGGCGTCTGGTCTGACTCTACACTGGAAGATCTGGACCGGGCGTTGCAAGCTATGGCTGATTGGCTTAGACTGAGTCAATTGAAATTGAATCCAACGAAGACGGAGGTCCTGTGCCTGAGTCCGGGTGGCCCGGGGGTAGGGATCCCACTTCTGACCTTTGATGGGGCTCCGTTGGTGCCTGCGCCAGAGGTAAGGAGCTTGGGAGTGCTCTTGGATGCCTCCTTGACAATGGGAGGCCCAGGTAGCAGCCACTGCCAAGTCAACCTTTTACCGTCTTCGGCTGATCAGGCAGTTGGTTCCCGTCCTTGAACGTAACGACTTGGTAACAGTGATCCACGTGATGGTCACCTCGAGATTGGACTACTGTAATGCTCCTTACATGGGGCTGCCCCTGTCTCAAATCCGGAAGCTGCAGCCAGTGCAGAATGCGGCAGCCAGGCTTCTGATGGGTATCCCCAAATGGGAGCACATCCAGCCGGTTCTGAAAGCACTGCGCTGGCTGCCAATAGCATGCTGGATTCGTTTCAAGGTGCTGGTTTTAACCTTTAAAGCCCTATATGGTCAGGGTCCTGCATACCTGAGGGACCGCCTTTCCCCACATGTTCCCCAGAGAGCACTGCATTCAGGGGCACAAAACAGGTTGGCCCTTCCAGGCCCCAGGGATGTTAGACTGGCTGCAGCCAGGGCCTTCTTGGTGGTGGCTCCATTTTGGTGGAATGAGCTCCCAGAAGAGATCAGGGCCCTGTGGGACCTGTTACAGTTCCTCAGGGCCTGTAAAATGGAGCTCTTCCACCAGGCGTTCAACAAGAGGAGGAGGAGGAGGAACTGTAGCTGGTGGTGGTGGTAATTGGATTTATAGCCCGACCTTCACTACCCAAAGGAGTCTCAGAGCAGCTTACAAACCCCTTTCTGTTCCCCTCCCCACAACAGACACCCTGTGAGGTAGGTGGGGCTGAGAGAGCTCTGACAGAAACTGCCCTTTCAAGGACAGCTCTGCCCAAGGTCATCCAGCCAGGTGCAAGTGGAGGAGTGGGGAATCAAACCCGGTTCTCCTAGATTAGAGTCCGCGCTCTTAACCACTACACCAAACTGGCTCACTAGGAGCCGCACCATACACCAAGGAGTGTACCTGTGCCCTGGCTTTGCCAACTTTGCTGCCAGCCTGTGCCCTGGGTCTTACCATCGTGTGCTCAGCCATACCTGCCGTAAACAATGAGAACTGAGCTGGTGTGAAAGAAGAGGCATCCAACAATCACCCAAGTGACACCATAAAGAACTGTTGCTCTTTTACATGGTATGTTCCAGTGTTTTATATGTTTTAAATGATTGTAAATTTTAAGTTATTTATATGGTGTTGACGTTTTAATTGTATCTGCACTTTATGAATGTTGCAAGCCACCCTGAGCCCACTCTGGCAGAGAGGGCAGGATAGAAATCAAATCAATCAATAAATATCCAATAAAACAAATATAGACCCCAGGTAACAGCTTCACAGTTCAGAATAAAATCAAACATTAATCTCAAAGATAGAGCATTATTGACCCTGACCAAACACGTTTCGGCTAATTGGCCTTCCTCAGTGTTTCCTTCCTCAAAAGGAACTCCTGGCCATCCAGGAACAAGGTTGGGCCCAGATGTACCCTATGAACTACAAGCCTGGAATACAACATATAAAACTTTTCATTCTATCAATTGTCTACCCCATTCCCAGTTCCTCCCCTCCCTCCAATGGCTTCCCACAATGCTTCCACCCCTGCTCCAAATTACTTCATATCATCAACAATATCAGTTTTTCATCATTACAATCTAAAGATAACATCGTTTGACTTAATATTGATCTAAACATATTAAGTTTTGTTTCACATCCCAGTTCTTTTCCAGATAAATTTTAAAGTCATTCCATTCTCCAAAAAACTCATCGTCTTCTTTGTTATTCAGTTTTTTTGTAATCTTATCCATTTGTGCCATGAACAGAACTTTTTGTATCCATTCTTCAACCTCTGGTACCTTTTCTGTCTTCCAAAACTGAGCATAATTCATTCTCGCTGTCACTGTCAGGTACCAGGTAACTCTGTAAAGTCTTGAGGCAGAAGCTTTTGTGGATTAGAGCCAGCTTTTGGGCTGGTGCTGAAATGTTTCCCTTACTTGGCAGACCTGTAGGCCTGGCTGGGCAGCGAGAACAGACAGTGGAACCAAAAGGCCACGAAACCTCTTTTGCAAGAGGCTCTGGCTTGTGGTGTTTCTGTGCAAAGCTCCACAGTGTACACGGGGAGCCCAGCAGTCATGCTCTTACAGCAGGAGTTGACTGATAGCCTGTTAGGGATGTCAGCCTCCAGGCAAGGCCTGGAGTTTCCCAAGAATTACAGCCCATTTCAGCCCTGTCCTGGATAGCCCAGGCAAGCCCAATCTGGTCAGATCTCGGAAGCTAAGCGGGGCCAACCCTGGCCAGTACTTGGATGGGAGAGCTCCAAGGAATACCGGGGCCGGGACGCAGAGGCAGGCAATAGCAAGCCACCTCTCTGAAAATGTCCAAGCCACACTAGGGGTCACCAGAAGTCAACCGTGACTTCCAGGCACGCACGCACAATTACCTCCCTCAAAGGAATTAAAACCGATCTCCGTACTACAGAGATCATCTACCCTGGATGAAATGGTAGCTTAGGGGGACAGACTCTGTGGCATCATATCCATGTTGTTCTCTCCCCGAACTCTGCCCTGCCTAAGCTATTTCCCCAAATCTCCAGGAACTCCCCCAACCCAGAGCTGGCAAACCCTGTCACCAGTCTCCTAACTTTGCTTTTCACAGATATGTTGCAAACTGCATCTCTTGAGCTCCCTGGCTTTATCCCCATCCCCCTCACCCCCCGTTATGCTTACAAATTTCAGCTGAGGATAACACTTAATGCTTCTGATGGTGGACTCTACACCAGGAAAACTGGTGTGGCGGGGGTCTCCCACTTTCAGCCCTCCCCTCTCCTCTCCCAGAAGGGAGGAACACTGGAAATTAAACTAGCTTGCCTATGACACTCGGAAGTGATGTAGGCACATTGGGGGCATTGGGAGGGCGACGCTCTGGCGTTTGGGCAAAACTCTATGGTATAAGCTAATTCTACCATAGAGTTTTGCCCAGAAACCAGAGCGTTGCCCTTTCCGACATGCCTACATCACTTCTGGGTCGCATCAAGTAAATTTCTCCACCCCTGGCTGCTCCGAGGGACCTGGCAACCCTACACAAGCCTGTTAGGTTTTGTCATGTGTTAGTAATTGTCAGAACCCACAGCTCACAACGAAGTACACACATTCAGGAATGGTTATACGTTTATTGCAAAACTATAGATGCAGTAACACAGGCACTGTTGAGAATGGCGGCAACCCATTGAGCATAATAGGATATAGGGTATTCGTATGCACCCCCCCATGGCATGAGCCAATTAGGAACCCTCCCGCGCACGGGACCAGCCAGAAAACCGTTAGGTGGCGACAGCTGGGAAGCAATAGTCTCTCACGGGGAATAGGAGACTTCCAGACAATACAACTTCCAACATAACAACCTCCTGCACATCTTTAGAGATAAGCATTGCGGCACAGGCAAAACAGCAGAGACAGGAATGCAATAGCAATTAGCAAGACACAGAATGAACTCCCCAACCCCCATGGCAGCATAGCTGACAGTAATAACAAAGCACCAGTTCCCCATCATCCTAATAAAGGCCCTGTAAAGTGGGCCACCTTCATGAGACCTTCCCTTACTTGAGGCTATGTTGTCCAGTTGCCAACCCTCAGGTGGCGCCTGGAGATATCCACAAATTATAAGTGATCTCCAGTTTACAAAGATCAGACTGCAGATCTCCAGTCTACGAGGGTCAGCTTCTGTGGCAAAAATGACTGCTGGGGGGGGGACTCTGGTGAGGGTTGCCCGTCTCAGGGCCGGCCCCAGCTTATTTTGCACCCTAGGCGGGGATCCCTTCTGGCGCCCCCTCCCCGTGCGCCCACCAATTTTTAAAAATAAATGCATTTTAGGAAGAATGAAAAACACTCAAGAAAGTGGCAGGGCTTTTGGTGGGGGGGGGGTGCCAGTTTGGCACCCCTAAGGGCCGGCGCGCTCTAGGCAAGCACCTTGTTCGCCTAGTGAGTGAGCCGGCCCTGCCCGTCTTCAGGAAAGTGGCTGGAGATCTCCCGCTATTGCAACTGATCTCCAGGTGACAGAGATCAGTTCACCTGGTGAAAATGGCTTCTTTGGAAACCATCCTATGGTGGTATATCCCGTTGAAGTCCCTCCCCTTCCCAAAGCCTGTCCTTCTCGGACTCCATACCCAAAATCTCCAGGTATTTTCCAATCCGGAGCTGGCAACCCTATCGATAATTATTATACCTTGCTGAGGTCCCTCCCCAGATCCAGCCCTCCCCAAGCCCCACCCCCAAATCTCCTGGAATTTCCCAACCCAGACCTGGCAACCTTGCTACACAGTGAGCTCACAGCTGAAGTGAGCCTCACTGGTTCACAGCTCAGTTTCCCGTTCTCACTGAGGCAGTAAATCTCGTGTCTGGGATTCAGCACTGTATGCGGCCGTGGGCTCACATGGTTCAGGGAACATTTTACAAACAAAGAGGCCCCCGTTGGTAGAAAGCTAAGACGTCAGGGAGAATACGAGGCCAGAACCCTTCTCCCTGACCTATTGGCTTTCTGTGTGGAGAAACACAGAATTATATCAGCCCCCCTTGCCTGATGTGGTACAATCCCAACACACTCCACCTCAGTCAGAACTAGGTCTTAGTCTCCTATGCCTTACTAATAGAGCCATTTGAAGCAGAGTTACACCCTTCTAAGCCTATTGTCTTCAGTGGAGTTAGAAGGGTGTAACTGTGCATAGGATTGCACTGTAACATCTAAGTAGTAATGGCAATTTTTATGCACACGTCAATTAAAAATTTTGGCCGTTGTCTACTCAAAACGTTTTGGAACATTCTTAGTGAATCGTCACCAGGTCTGTGTGTGCTGTGTTTTGTGTTTTTTTTTTAAATTTGAATGAAAATTAATCATTTTTTTAAAGGCATGGGGAGAAGACACTTGTCTCCCCAAAGGCATGGGAAATGTGACCCTTTCCAAGTTGGGGGCAGGGTTGCCTCTGGGCTGGGAAATTCCTGGAGATTTGGGTGTTGGGAAGGGGAGAGATCTCAGTTGGGGTATTATGCTTTGAAGTACACGTTCCAAAGCTGCCATTTTCTCCAGGGGTACTGATCTCTGTCGTCTGGACCAGGAGATGTCTGGTCCCCACCTGGAGGTTGGCAACCCCAGTTGGGGGCAGGGTAACTGTTCTTAAATTCCGTGCTTTTCAGGCATTCTTAGGCTTTTGAAAAAACCAGCTGACTGAGAATCTGTGAGACATCCTCCTCCCCTATCCCCAAATAAATCGGGGGTTCTCCTAGGAGAACTTTGTGTCTCTCTGCAGAGGGAAGAATGAGTAAGAAGTCTGAAACTACTCCCTCCTCCCTGCAAACTCTTGAACCAGGGGTTAAGAAAGTTCAGTAATTACAGTGTATATAGAGAGACCTGCTACATAGCCTGTCAGAAGGAGGTGACTTAGTTGGCAGAGGCAAAAAGTAGGTTGAAAGGCAAGGCAATTTTGACCTCATGTTTGGCAGGGTGCCCTATCGAATCTCCCCCTGGTGTTTGAAAGTGAAAATGGTAAGAGACTAAAACTATTCTTGAAGGCCACGATCTCTCTGCCCCTGCAGGAGGACTGATCTGCCGCGGCCTCGTCTCCACGATGCCCGATCACAACGTGGATACCTTCATCTCTCTCTCTTCCCCACAGATGGGGCAGTACGGGGGTAAGTAAGGGGAAGAGACTGGATGAGGCTGGCGCGAAGCTTCTTGCGGGCTCTTGAGCGAATCAGAATGCTGCTGCGTTCCCTTGCGTCGTCATGCACGGAGCAGCACACTGCCTGTCACATTTATTGTTAGCGCAGGACTGTGGCTGAGTGGCAGAGAATGTGGCTTGGGTTCAGGAAGCCTAGGGTAGTCAGTTCTGGGTTGGGAAATACCTGGAGATTTGGGGGTGGAGCCCGGGGGAGGGCAGGGTTTGGGGAGGTGTCATGACCCCAGAGGGGTCTTTGGTTTTCGCCGCCACCACCCTGGACTTTCGGGTCCCTCGGGAGTCCCAGGGTGTCTCCCAAGCCCTTGTTGACCGAGCAATACGGGCGTGAATGACCCAGGCAGACACCAAAATAAATTAACCAGCACGGGGTTTATTAGGAGACAGATTGGGGCAAGGTGCTTCAACCGGGTAACAGGTGGAAAAGCCAAAAGAAAATAAACTTAACCAGGCCCTAGCCTGCCTCCCTCACTCGGGATTTTCCTCCTCTCCCAGCCCGGCCTGTCCCTCACGGGACCCAGCCGCAGGGAGGCAAAGGACGGAGGGGCTTCTCCCCTCTTCTCTCAGAGAGTCTCCAGCAACCATCCATCATCAGCCAGCAACTGCCTTAACTGACCCTCCCCGACTTCCTTCCCTCACAGACTCTAACGGTCTCTTTAGAATCTTCCCCTCGGCCCAAGCCTCCCAAGGCCCCCTGGGAGTTGTAGGCCCCTCCTCCCACTCCTGCACAGGCCTCTTGTCTGGCTAGGCCGTGCTTCCCGGGCCAGATCATGACAGGAGGGGAGCAGTGTTCCCTCTAAGCTGAGTTAGTGTGAGCTAGCTCACGGTTTTTTAACCTCCAGCTCACACCTTTTTGTCTTAGCTCAGGAAGGATGGCTCCAGAGCAAACTAATTTTTTGCAGCAGCCAAATCGCCCGCTCACAGTTTTAATGCCAGGAGCTCACAAAGTAGAATTTTTGCTCACAAGACGCCACAGCTTAGAGGGAACATTGGAGGGGAGGGATCTCAAGCAAGGTCCAATGCCATAGAGTCCACCCTCCAAAACAGCCATTATCTCTGGGGGAACTGATCTTGGTTGCCTGGGGATCAGTTGTAATAGCGGGGGATTTCCAGGTGCCCCCTGGAGGTTGGCAACCTTAAGAAAGTCTCTGGGTCCAGTCCTCTTGCATCTTCAGCTTAGAGTCCTTCGATCTTTTGGGCACGATAGCCCTTTATGCCTGAGATCCTCTGCCAATCGAGTAGATGTTCCTGATTAATTCCATGAGCCAATACTCTAACTTAGTCATAAGGCATTTTTCTCTATGAAGAATGGCTTCTGGGTCTGTGGCAGAGCACAAGGGATCTTATGGTTCAGCTCCTGGCATAGCCAGTTAAGGGGTAGCAGGAATTAGGAAAGAATATTCTCTTCATCCAGGTCCTGGGTGGTTTCAGCTAGTCAGAATAGACAGTGCGGAAATAGATGACTTGTTATTAGATCTGTCTTTCCCTTTCCTCTTTGGGAGCTTCCCAGAGTCTTCTGGTTCATCTCTGTGAAGTAGATCGATCCTTGGCTTGATCCAACCTTTACATTCTTACAACTTTGTGCTCTGGGCCTGTAGAGGTGACAGAGCTCTCATCTGTATCCCACTAAACACAGCAGACAACCGTGACATTTTTAAATCTCTTTTTCTGTGAAGAACTCAGAGTGGGTACCCTGATCCTCTCCCTTTCTGTTTTATCCTCACAGCTGCCCTTTTGAGACAAGTTAGGCAGAGGGAAGGAGACTGGCCCAAGGTCACCCAGTGAGCTTCCCATAGCAGGATTTGAATCTGGGTCTCCCTGATCCTAGTCTAGCCACTACACCAGTATCCTCCGGCCCACAAGCTACCTCTGTGTACCTCAGCGGCTAACATAGCTCGACATTTATATGATCGCGGCAGGCCTCCCCTGGAATTACTGCATTTCAGAAGATTACCTGGTTTGCCTTTGTGGGTGGGCCGGCCTGGAATGGGGTCAAACCATGAATTGGAATGGAGACATGTCAGAATGGGGGGAGTCCAGGACTGGAGTAGTTGTGGGGAAAGGCGGTGGTTTGGGTAGTGCCCTCTCTCTCACTGCGTTTCTTTTTTCCATACAGATACCAAGTACCTGAAATGGCTCTTTCCCCAGCACATGAAATCCAATCTATATCGCTTGTGCTACACACAACTGGGCCAGGGTTTCTCTATCTGTAACTACTGGAATGGTGAGATCCATACGCCTCATCACCGATTTTAGCACATTCGTTGGTTCAGATAGCTTCATGTACCCAGAGAAAGTGGTTTGCCCAAGTCTGTGATTTAATCGTTTGCACCCACAACCTGCTCACAAGATCCCACAGAAGAGACAGCCGGGGGGGTGGGGTGGGGCTAAAATGTGTAAGTTCTCGTTGGAAGGTTCTCCTCGCTTCCAGACCAAATATACCAAATTTGAAATGACAAGAGTTTGTACCTATTACTAAAACATAATGGCTAGCCCACTCTGAGATTCATGTTTCTCCATTTTCTGTGACTTGAACCTTGATGGCATTTGAAATCAGTGTTAAGAAATTTTGAAGACCAACATATAGAATAATCCAGTATTGAAGATATAGTTGTCCAGCTCTGAGGAAGACAATCGAAACGAAAGACTTATCCAGAAACTTAATTAGAATCTGAATTTGTGGACTTATGAAATTGTGGTTTGTGGACTTATGAATTTGTAATAAGATTTTTGTACCAATAAGTAGAATATGTGAATATTCCATATTATACACTGAATGTATATAGAACTTGAGAAAAATTATTTTTATTTAGCATAATTTCTCATAGTCATGTTGTCTCAAGAGCCAGCGTAGTGTAGTGGTTAAGACTAGAGTGGCAAACTGGGCATCTGGAAACCCAGTTTCGGATTTTCAATTCTGCCATGAAAACTTGCTTGGGTAACCGTGGGCTCATTCACACAGCCTCAGCCTGGCCTACCTCCCCGGGTTGTTCTCTGCATAAAACGGAGAACAATGTACTTCGCTTTGGATCCCCATTGGTGAGCAAGGCAGGGTACAAATTAAGTATATAAATGAACAAGCTGGTCCCCTTCCTTTTTGAGAAATGGGGAATATGACGAAACAGGTAATGCGTTCAGTTCAGGTTCCCCTGGCCTGATGTGACTCTTTGGATAAGTTTTGCTCATGCTTGGCGTCTTAACTAAGGTAACATGTTTTGGGTCAGGAAGACATTTCCCACCAGGCCGCATTGGCCAGTGACTGGGTAGGGAAGGACAGTGTCTTCTGCTGCTGCTGCTGCATGTCGCTTGGCTCACTTTTGTGTGAGCTGTCATGACCGATTAGGTCAGATGGGCACCTTTCTGCTTTCTTCTGGTGGCCGTGCTGGGCTGGTCCACGTTGCAAGCAGCCGCTTAGGGCTCCCTGAGGACGGAGGGGTGTTATTTTTGTCTTTGTAGCCCTCGTGGCATTCTCAGTCTGTTCCCCACTTGTCTGGCCCATCTGTCCTTCCCCTCAGTGATGGGAAGAGACCATCTCCTATATCTATGTAAACAAGTAGCACTTGGCAGAAGAGGTGCAAGTCCTTCCTATTATGTCCGTGGGGAAGAATGGACAGAGATGAGAAGTGGCCTAGGTGAGCCAGGAACGAAGGCATCACTCCTGGCCTGTGTGGGTGGAACTGTTTTTATGACACTGCTGCTGCCAGGTTTGAAGACTTGGTGGGGAAGGAGACACAGCAGGGCTGCTTGGGATAGCAAAACATGTTGAACCAGCCGTGCAGTCTGGGTTGAGTGGACTGATCTTGATCAGTGATGCAGCCTCATGGCTGAGGACTGAGTTGTGTGGTCTCTTTACCTCCCCATCTTAAGAACATAAGAAGAGCCCTGCTGGATTAGACCAGTGGTCCATCTAGTCCAGCATCCTGTCCCACACTGTGGCCAACCAGTTCCCCTGGAGAGCCAACAACAAGTCATAGAGGCCAAGACCCTCCCCTGATGTTGCCTCCAAGCACTGGGATTCAGAAGTTTACTGCCTCTGAATGTGGAGGTTCCTTTTAGTCATCATGGCTAATAGCCACTGATTGACTTGTCCTCCATCAATCTGTCTAATCCCCTTTTAAAGCTGTCTAAGCCTGTGGCTGTCACTAAATCCTCTGGCAGCTAATTCCACATTTTAATCACTCATTGTGTAAAGAAGTATTTGCTTTTGTCTGCCCTAAATTGTAGGGAAATAGTTCAGGAAGATGCTTTGGTAAAGGGATTAGGGAATGAAGACTGTACTACTGTATACTGTATGTTGCTGTCAGTATGCTCCTACTGGGTAATTTTTACATCATTTACCGAGTCGTGTTTCAATGCTTATACTTTGTTTTGGCATTGTTTCAACTCTGTATCAGATTTCTCCTTGTTTTCAAATCGAAGAAATTTGAAAATCTGAAATCAAAACTCTATTGCATTGTTTATTTGATGTCCTGTACTGTTGATCGTAGTGACTTAAACTGTGTGATCCGTCTTGGGACTCAGTGAGAAAGGTGAACTATTAAATAATGTAAATAATCGAGTTCTAGTATTCGGGGAGAGGGAGAAAAACGTTATGAACATGATCCCCACCCCCCCGTTGTTGCATTTATACCCTGCCTTCCTTCTATCATGGAACCCAAAGTTTCCAGTATCTCTCCCAGAAGGGTAGATTCAGGTGGGTAGCCGTGTTGGTCTGAAGCAATACAACAAAGTTTTGAGTCCGGTGGCACTTTTAAGACCAACAAAGTTTAATTCTGAGTATAAGCTTTCATGAGGAAGTCTGAAAAAGTGTGATTTTCAGATCCACATCATCGAGACCTTTACCTCAACAACAGCAATTTCCTGGCCTTGCTGAATGACGAAAAGCTGAATCCTAACGCTACAAGTAAGAATCCCACAGCCCCCCAAGCACAAAAGGTATTGGTAGGGTGGCCGTGTTTGGTGGACAAGCCCCACATGTTTGTTTGCAGCCAATCTTTATGTGCTTGCAGTAGCTTGAGCCTGCACAGCCTTGAAGCACCAAGTGTCTGATGTTCCTTAGCTTAGGCCAACAAGTGAATGTGACACCCCAGGGAAGTCTCTCTTGCTGCCCTTCCTCAGATCAGACGGGGGTGGGGACAAGGCAGTGAGAGAGCGTCTTGCTTAAAGACCCCCTGAGCTTGGCAGAAGTCACAAGGGAATGGAGTTTTACTTTGCGTCACACAGCCTATTTTTCAGAAAATGGAAACCGTGTACATCTCTCTCTGTCCCTGTTTCTGCTATTATGCCCGGAGGTGGGGGTGGTTCAGGGTGGGCCCATTTTACCTAGCTGTTCTCTTGGGGTTTCAGTTATTTTTTTATTTGCATACTTGGTGGCCTTTATGAAGGCAGAAAGGCTGGATATAAAATTTGTAAAATAAATGAAGCTTGGTTGCATAGGTTAATGGAAAGCAATAATGGAAAATATTTTGAAAATTATATTTCTGGGGTTTTTTTCTAAATCAAAAGTGTGTGTGTCTGTCTATCTGTCTGTCTGTCTATACACACACACACACACACACACGTGTGTATGCACCCTGAAATACATTATAGAGTTATTAGCTCTGCTGGTATATCCAGTTCTTGATATGCTATCAGTGGCCTCATATCATGCTGGGGGAGGCTTATCTTCTTCTCAAGACAGAATTGCATCCCTGCCTTTTGCAGAAGTCCAGGGCAAACGGAAAGGATTCTACAAATTACTGGTGGCGAAGGCACAGGGGAACTTTTATGCTGGATGATTGGGGGGAAGGGGTGACAGTGACTGAAGGGGGCGGGAGAATATTGACCAAGCTTAGAGATCTGTGCCTTTCACTCTACGTAGCCTGGAAGAAGAACCTTCTACGGATTCGGAAAATGGTTCTGATTGGGGGTCCGGATGACGGCGTCATCATGCCATGGCAATCCAGGTGAGGTTCGGGAGGTGGGAAGGAGACCCTCCCACCTCCAATGAGGAGACGGATGTTTAGTTTTGGAGGCCAGAAGCAAGCTGTCCTCTGCTTGTAGGTTTTGGGGGCATGCGTTAAAAATGCACCTTTAATGCAGCCTCACTGAAACAGACCCTTGATTGATTTTTTTATATAAAAGCAGATTCAAGCGTCTTCTGTAAAATCATAATGCAGCCTAGGTTCAGCCCTGGTGTCCATCCCCATTTCGATGGAGTCCCTAGTATGGGGGAAGAGAAAAAGGAATCCGATTAGATCAGCATATACATTCTGCATATCTGCCTAATATTTTTCTGCAGACCCAGTAGTTTATATTTGCTGGGATCTATTAACCACTTTGATATTAAAAATCCAAAGCCATGCACTAAATGTTAAGGGTCACATTTTTTAAAAAAATAAATAAATAATAATTTACCATTTGTTTTTATGCAGTAAAAATGCTTCTGGTGTTTGTTATTCTTATTGTGGGTTTGTCACGCTGATGGTGATTGCCAGTGTGGTGCTGCAGTTAGCGTTGGACTAAGTCAGAGGTGTCGAACTCATTTGTTTTATGAGGGCCGGATCTGACATAAATGTCACTTTGTTGGGGCCCCGCCACGTGTGCCATAAAATGTAATGGTGGCCATAAAATGTAATGGTGGGTACCGGAGATAGAAACTGTATAAAGGACAGCAGCTGGTAAGCTCCGACTTAGTGTATCCTCACTGCAAGGCCCCGTGGGCTGGGAAGTGGTATGCAAAGAAAAAACCCATATGGGCGGATTGGAGAGCCAGCGGTGCAGCACTGGGCAGACGCTCTACACTGCTTGACTACAGTGGGTGAGGTGGTTCCACCATGCTGAAGCCACGATTGGAGTGGCTCCACCCACTCTCCTTGAGCAGCCTCCCGTTCCCTCCCTTGCATAGTTGCATGCGGGCCGCCCTGGACGGCCAGATCCGGGCCCCTGGGCCTTATTTTTGACAACCCCATGCTGAAGTTCCCTCTAAGATGAGTTAGTCTGAGCTAGCTCACAGTTTTTTAGCCTCCAGCTCACAGTTTTTTGTCTTAGCTCAGGAAGGATGGCTCCAGAGCAAACTAATTCATGCAGTAGCCAAATCACTTGCTCACAACTTTAATGCCAGTAGCTCACAAAGTAGCATTTTTGCTCACAAGACTCCACAGCTTAGAGGGAGCATTGCCCTGGACTAGGTTCTGGAAAACACAGGGCCAAATCTCTGCTGTGCTATGCATGAGCTGACTGGGTAACGTGAGCCAGTCACCCTTTCTCAGCCAAACCAACCTTCTAGGGGTGTGTGGGAGGACAAATATATATATATATATATTGCTTTTATTCTAAAAACTACACAGAAATCAAAGGAAGGGGTAACTAATATCTACAGGATAAAGGAAAGAAAACTACTACTAAGAACCCAAGTATAGCATTGGTCTAACAATTTTAACAATGCTTACAGTAATATTTCACTTAGAACACCTTTCGCATGCCAGCAATCTTGACTGGTTTTTTTTGTTGCTACTGCAGCTGCTGATTCAACACAGCAGCAACATGTGTTCCGCATGGTGGGTTTCCCCAGATTTCCCCTGTCCAGTCCCAAGCTGCAGCTATTCCTATTCCCCGCTCCCCTTGCCAAGGGACCGAGGGACTCATTCTGATTTTTTTTGAATTGGTAATTAACAAATCACTATAACTAGCTGTAACAATTAGTCAATTACCGGTTGCAAACGAAGAAGCCCCCTGGCAGTACTGGGGGGGAAGGGGACAGATGCGGAGAGATATGTGCCAATGTGGGCAGGACCTGGAAAGGTCTGAAGCTTCCCTTCCGCTCGGCAGTCACGCTGGCTTGGCTGTGATCGTTCCACAAATATTGTTGTGAAGTCAGTTTTGGAAACATCACAGAGAAGCTGTGGAGCAGCCGGAAGGTGCACAAAAAGCACCAGGACACTTTGGGGAGGTAGGACAGGAAGAAAAAGGGCTTCCCGTTGGCATCAGAGCCAGACCATAAGGGCATAAGAGAGAAAGAAGAAGACGACGTGATTGGATTTATACCCCGCCCTTCACTACCCAAAGGTGTCTCAGAGTGGCTTACAAACTCCTTCCCCTTCCCCTCCCCACAACGGACACCCTGTGAGGTAGGCGGGGCTGAGAGAAACTGCTCTTTTTCATGAACATCTCTTATGCAGGGGGTGGACTGGGAGGCAAAGTGAGCCTGGAAAAGGGCCCGGTCTTCCCCAGGGGAGAGGGGAAAGGAAGGAGTAAGCTAGCTGATGCTCCCTCCCAGCTTATACGCATCCACGTTATGTGGGGGGACAGCTCCCCCACACTTTGACTGTGGTAGCGGCCAGTGGCTTCAGGGAAGTGGGGGCTGCCATTGCTGGCAGCAGCTTCTGCTCCTCCGATGTGAGGTGGCTCATGGCAGGGGATGGTTCCCGCCCGTCTCACCCAGGCACCTGGACCATCAGGCCACCTGGACTTTCCCCAGCAGCCTAAATAACCAATCCACCCCCAAGTGGGTGGGTGAAATAAGGTATGTGGTCTCCAGGTCCGCTTTATGACTTAACAACTCTTCTTTTTCTTGCAGCATGTTTGCCTTCTATGATAATAACGAGACTGTGAGGGAAATGAAGTCCCAATTGGTGAGTGTGGCGGGAATCCCCAGTTCCCTGGGACAAGGGAGGGTGGCAGAAGGGGACACTGGTCTACTCAGTCGGCTAAGAAGATGGGGAGGGGGCAGGACTCCTGAGTCAGCCAGATGTCTTCTGATTTGGAGTAACTAGTCTCACTGGTGGACCTCCTGATGGCACTGGTATTTCTGGCCACTGTGTGATACAGAGTGTTGGACTGGATGGGCCTTTGGCCTGATCCAACATTGGCGTCTCTTATGTTCTTATGTTCTTAACATAAGGGACTAGGAACCAGATCTCCTGGGTTCTCCGCCGGTCAGAATACAGGCGTAGATTCAGGGACTCCTGGAGGTTGTGGTGTGAACACCTTGGAGAAAGCTTGACGGTTTAAGTTGGGGGTGTGCCAGAAGACTTTCTATGGCTTTTTTAAAACTGAAAACCCAATAAAAATAGAACATGGGATATGACTACAGTCTTGACTACCACCTGTGAGAAATAGCTTTAGGGTCCAGATGCCGATTGAGGGAACGAGCACAGAGGTAGAAGTAATAGAACGGGAGCCCCAACGTGGTGCCCACTGACATGTTTCCTGGTGACCTCCAAGTGCTTTTAAAAGCTGGTAGGCTAACTTGGGGCTCTTGACTAGCAGGGCTTCTGATGGGGTACTGGAAATCTTATTGGCGGTGCAGATTAAAATTATGTTGTTTCGGTGGCAGCTGCTACTGTAGTGTTGGTCTTATTCTCTCTCACCTCTCTTTCCCAGTGTATTTTTCAAATCATTCCTCTTCTTCCCGGTACTAGGGCTTCCCCCTGTGTGTATGTCACGCCCACCGCCCTGTGTTAGAATTCCAAAGGTGCCCAAAGACTCAAAGGTTTGGGAACTTCTGTGGTAGAAGGAACAACCCACTTCTTGGTTTCTGGTTTTATTTAGGAAGTCCACTGATCTCTGCTCAGTGTGTCTCAGGAAGAGGCCAGCCCTCCTTCCAGCACCAGAGAAGAGCATGATATGGTGGGTGGGGCCAGCCGTAATTGGGGGTACAGGCTGTAAACATGGCAGCGCATAAGACTAGGATCTTGGGAGACCAAGGTTCACAACCCCACTCTGAACTGACATAGTTGTAACATGTTGGATCCCCAAGCATCGAGAATAAATCCACGTTTTCAAGAAAAGCAAAATTTATTTCAAAGCGTTGAAGACATACTCAAACACGTTCTTTGTTAGAACTGGGGATACACAGTTAGGTCAAGCATAATAAAGGAACTTCAAACAGATACAGGTCCAATGAATAACTTTCCCGCTGGCGGGCTAATGAAACGGTTGCGCGCCCAGTCCATGGGAACCAGGCAGGATATTAGACAAAACACAGGTGCAGTACTTATGGGAAAAGCAATAGCCAAGCATTACAGCATCTTCTCCCCCACACAACCTCCAGCAGTTATCTTTTGCATTCCAACGCAGGAGCAGGATGATAGAAACCAAGCCGGGTGCAACAGGGAAAGGATATGTACACAGAGGTCACAGAAAACAGAATGGCAGCTTGCTGACATACTGCCCCCCTTAAAATACCGCAAACCTCTGAGGAGAGGAGAGGAGTTGTGAGATGCAAAAATGGCAAGGGTTGAAAGGTAGTCCTGAAGACCAGAAGACGTAAGGTTGCATAGCCCGTATCCTAGAAGGTTGAGGATGGGAATAGACTTGGGACAGTTCCTTCTGAGGCAGGTGAATGCTGGTTTCTGTTGTTCTTAATTCCTCCCCTTCATGGATTCAGGTGAACTGATTACTAGGCCGAATGTCATAGAAGAGTTTGCCTTGGCATGCTGTTGGGGTGCCTTTATCACACTTAAGAGGAGTTCGTTTCTGAGCACAAAAGCATCAAAGTATGAACTTCTCCCCCCCACCCCCCCGTGTCCCGTTAAAACTATTTTCTGTTCCCTTGCAGGTCTACCTTGAGGACACCTTTGGTCTGAAGACCCTGGATGCCCGCGGTGGCATTGTTTCCTACATAATGCCTGGCGTCTCCCACACGTATTGGCACTCCAATCGCACCGTCTTTGAAAAATGCGTCGCCCCATGGCTGACGTAGCTGGTGGGCCCCCGGAGAAGAGATAGCGGAGGAGCGAGCCCTCCAGGGGAGACGTGTGACATTCTTACCTCGCCTTGGTACTTCTGCTCCCACAGAGAAGAGTCCCTATTTGTTACCTGTAGTTTTTCTAGGATGGTTGATAACTTTCTTTTATAGTGGAAGAAGCTTTTCTGTGGGAATTTGGGGGTGGGGGCCGGCAGCTCTCTGGTGGGTTCCAGAAGGGCTGCACTGTGGGGACAGGAGGCATGGCTCTTTCCCGCTCTTTTGTCAGGTTTGAGCTATCCAAGCGACAGTTGGGATTTCTTTGCAGAGGAGAACTGCAAAAAAGGAACTGCTCCACAGGATATAATATCCATTGGACTTTTTTTTTCATCTTAAGAAGTTGAATTTGGCAGAGACACTGAGGAGAAGGAATTTGATTCTGTTCAAATGTCGATCCGTGGCAGAAACCGTATTTTTCGTTCCCAAACTGTGACAGAAATGTATATGGAAGTTGTAGAAATTCTTCTCCTTCCACCTACCCCCTCTGGTTGAAATGTTGGGCCCTGCAAACTTTGCCACAAACTCTGAGAGAGTCTTTTAAATTGTTCAGATCACCCCCCCCCCCAATATCCCATTTGACTTCAGTAACCTCAGAGTTTAGTGAATCGAATTGTGTGTCTAAACTGACTTAAATTTTTTATCCATTTTTTTCTCCTCCTCCTCCCCTCTTTTAGAAGCACATTTTCAAGATCTCAGGATGATGAAAGAAAATTGATTTACTCCAAGAAATTTCATAGCCAGTTCCACCTGTTTCAAAAAAACAAACAAACACCCCTGTCTACTTTTAAGGGACAGCTGCTGATTTGAGGGACTTTCTTGAGGGGGAGCCCCTCATTCTTGAAGGGAAAATTTTTAGAGCTTTCATGTTTTTGACAGTATTAATTCTCTTTCATCCAGGTACGATACAACCTAAGCAATAGGACTCAGGTGTTAACTTTAACCTCAAAATGGGGTAAGGAGAAGGGGTAAAGAGAAGGGAATCCTGGGGATTCCAGACGGTTGCGTGTGAAGTCGACCTTGGTGGGATTTGGGATAATCTTTTGTAGTCAGAAACTTTATTCTTGCAAATAAAGGAAATGTAGAGGTGTTGTGTACGTTACACAGAACCAAGCGATAAGAGTGAGGTAGCGGAATCCTGGTGTGGGATCGCTCTCGTGTCTGGCGATCTTGTTCAGATCAACGTGGCAGTGGGGCCCACCCTGCCTCTTTATGTGGCATGTTGATCTGACCATCAGCCTCTTCTTTGTGCACACAAGCCTTGCCCTTTTACTAAGTCACTCCACTGTGAAATGTGGGACTGACCTTGGGTCGCCAACCTCCAGGTGATGGCTAAAGATCTCCTGGGATTATGACTGATCTCCCGGTGACAGGGATCAGTTCACCTGGAGAAAACGGCCACTTTGGAAGATACACCCCACTTAAGTCCCTTCCTTCCCCATACCCTGCTTTCTTCAGCCTTCAATCCCCAAAATCTCCTAAATATTTCCCAACCCAGAGCTGGCAACCCTAGACTTGACTATTTAAGGCCAAACTATGTTACATTTTCCCCTCCAGCCTGCATTCTCTGGGTCTGATTCGCTTTCCTCATAGCCACACAGCAGCTGCAGGGAATGCCATTTTAAAAATCAGGAGGAGCTCGATTCTGCTCGGAATTGCAGTGTGGATGAGGGGCTCGTGTGCGACTCTGAACCTCATAGCCACACAGCAGCTGCGGGGAATGCCATTTTAAAAATCAGGAGGAGCTCGATTCTGCTCGGAATTGCAGTGTGGATGAGGGGCTCGTGTGCAACTCTGAAGTTATGCAAATTACTCTCTGCTGGGTCCCTTTTGGGTAGGGAAAACAGCACTGGGGGAGGGAGGCAGAAGCCCCTCCTCCCCTCACACTCCATTTCTGAGCAGAATTGGACTCCTGCCACTTTTAAAAACGACATTCCCCGTAGCTGCCGTGTGGCTGCAGGGAATACAAGTCGGGTTTGGGGAAACTGGAGAATCCTGGACCCGAGTCACCCAAAAACGTAACATGTAGGAGCAGCAGGCGTAGCATCCATTTGGATGTTCTGCCCTGTAGCTGCCCTGCAGTTTCTCCTGTGAGCTTGATTAAAGTTAGGTACATTTTTAATCCAGCTCTAAGGGGGGAAACGCAGGAGCCAGACAAGCCCATGCCCAGGTTGGGCAGGACATTGCTTGGATGCTCCCAAATCCTGTGTGGGGAAATCCTTGTGTGGAAGTCGCTGTGGTCTACAGTGGGTGGGGAGACCATGGGCAAGGCAAGTAGAATGAAGGGCTGACCCCTCTCTGTCAGAAGGATTGGGTGGGCAGGTGGGCAGGTGATTGCTGCACTGCAGGCACGATGTGTAACTGTTTGGGCTGATGGATCAAATGCCATGCCATGCCATGCATACAGGCAGAACACGAAAGTGGAGAGGAAAAGACGTTTTTTAAAAAAATCTCCTGATTTATGACAGAACAGAATATTGCAGCAAATATATATATTTGCCATCAAGTTGCACCCAATCCCTTGGGGTTTTCGAGGCTAGAGATGGAACAGAGGCGGTTTGCCATTGCCTGCCTCTGAATAGCAACCCTGGGCTTCCTTGGTGGTCTCCCATCTGAATACTAACCAGGGCCGACACTGCTTAGCTTCCAAGATCTGACACGGTCGGGCTAGCCTGGGCTGTCCACATTAGGGCTATTGCAGCATGAGAAGATATAAATGCAAACCGACAAGGCTCTCAAGTACTGGTCAGGCCACCTCAAACATCTACTCTGAATCCTGGGCCTCGTATTTTTGCAATGCTTGTCCCTGTAACCCTCCCCCACCTTTTCTGCATGCCATACATTTGCATATTCTGGAGCAAGGATTAGCTCAGCACTCCACCGATGCACTGGGGACTTTTAAAACGGACGGAAGGCTTGAGAATATAACATCACCGCTCACAGTCTGAAGCAGGGCACTCTAGAAGGGGTGCCTCCTTCAATCTGATTCAGGTGGAGCTGAAAGATAAATCCTTGGCAGGTGGCGACAGTCAGGCCTGTGTGTGTCTCCTCTAACCCAGGAAGCAAACAGGCAACATTTCACATTTTGTTATACTAGTTAATTACATTTGCCTAAGCTGCCCTAGTTTGTCTAAGTCCTCCAAGCTGTGGTACTTTGAGTTTTCTGTAACGGCTACCGAAGGACAGGGTAGTAAAAGTTAGCACTTCCAACCGGGAACATCCAGTGGAGACCCAGAGTTGAAGAAAAATGAAGGGAGGATTTTGCCCAAATCCTCACTGCAGTAGAAGTTGGTGGATGGTGAAGGAGGGGAAACACCCTTAGTGTAAATTTGCTTGCAGGGATCCGTTATCACTTCTGATCTCCCCCACCACCACCATGAATAGCACCGGGCAGAATGCTTCTAACTGCATTAAATCATGAAGTGCAATAAAGGGCTAAAAGGGGTAGAAGTAAGAGATGAAAACCATGTGAGAGGACAGGGGGTACTGTAAGATGTTGATGCCCTGTCCCCGGGACATGTCCCGGTCTTTCCTTTTGAAATTTTCTCCTACCCAGCCACCATGAGGACTAGAGACTTGGGGCTCTTCTGCATTCTCATTTACCTCCCTTGTGTGTCCCTATTTCTTCGGGGTGGGGAATATTTTCCACATGTTTTGCGCCCTCTAGTGGTCAATTTGATATTACATTGCTGTTTGTAGGGACAATTAATACCAAACCAACCACTAGAGGGCGCACAACATGTGAGGAAAAGGGGGGGGACCCTGAAGCAGTAGGGACACACAAGCGACGAAACTGAGAATACGAAAGAGCCCTGTCTTTAAAAAAACCAACAATCTACAGCTCAGCATTTTTGTGGGAATACACACAGCTTGGTTTTCACGGTGTGTGGAACCAAGAAGGTGTTAACTGGAAACAAAGAGAATCTGGAAGCTTTTTGTTGTGTTTCGTATGGTAACAGATGGCCTAATAAGGCAGTTTGAGGATTTGTCGACAGGGATTTTCCTCGTGTTAAAATGAGGCAAATCTCAGAAATATTCTGTTGTCCTTGGAATAATCTGAAGTGATTTGCCAAGCTCGCTTCCTGCAGCACAGAGCCGCTTTGCACAAGGAAGGCCGAAGTGTTTAAGACCATAAAAACATAAGAGAAGCCAATGTTGGATCAGGCCAATGGCCCATCCAGTCCAACACTCTGTCACACAGTGGCCAAAAATACCAGTTGCCTATCAGGAGGTCCAGCAGTGGGGCCAGGACACTAGAAGCCTGGGAATCAATGGCTGAGTTCTGAGGCGCTTTAACATAGCTGCTACTTTAAGGCGAATAGCGTATTTTGTTGATGTATAAGTGAAGTTTTTAGTAGCAAGCTTGAAGGAATTGTGGTAGGGCATGTAAGACTTTGCCCAGAATTGTGGTGAGAAATTAATTGGGAGGTGAGAACAATACATGGGGGTTTTTTTCCGGGGGAGGGGAGATTTCGTAGATAAAAGCATAGTCTAGTAACAATGGAAGGGGTGGGGAGAAGCAGTAGTTACACTCCTGGCCTACGTACACATGAACAAACACTATATGGGTGCGGTCAGACGGCGTGCCGAAGTGGTTTAAACTGCTCCGGTTCCAATCGGATTATATTTGATCCGGGACAAGCGCGATCACACTTACCTCCCTTACCGCACAGCACATTGCTCCCGGGCGTCGACACTACAAGTGCGCAGCAGCGGTTTTCCCCCCACTGTGCACATGCGCATAGGCACCCATCCATATAATTGAAATCTTCACGCCAAAAGCATGCCCTGAAGCAAACACTTCCCTTTAAACTTTTACAACGAAACTGGCCTCTGTGAGGTCCCCGACTCGTCTAAAGCCTAAAACTAAGCACCGTTTTTAATTCATTTTATTAACGCCAGGGCGAAACTTCACCCAAGCACATATCGCCGATGCTAAAATAAAATGGCGGACGAAAAGCGAAAGCCTCGGGCTTCCGAGCGGAAGTGGCTCTACACCGGCGGAGGCGCGATCACACGTCAGGAAAATGCGGCTAGAACTGGAGCACCAGGAAAACACCACTTGGGACCTGGTAGCAAAATACTCCAGTTTAAAGGGGGGTTGAGCCGGTTGGTAACGGCTAGGGACGGGAGGCAGATGTTGGCTGTGTGATCGCGCATAAATAGTCCGTTTCTGATCTGACCGGCATGTATACCGGCTCAAATGGCCCATCTGAACGTGCCCTATTAGTGCTTTTTTCAGCACAACTCAGGAGCGTGTGGCTTTCTTTTCTCTCGTGCGTTAAAAAGGGTGCGTTTGGCAAAGAGCCTCCTCTCTTTTCCTCCTCCACATTGAGGGCTTCGTTCAGTGACTTCATCTCTGAGAATTCTGGCATGGCACACCCACACCCTGCTCCACTTTCTGGAGCAGAAGCTGCTTTCTCTCTCATGCCTTCCAAGGGCCTGTGGCTGGCCACCATGGAGGACTGCCTGAGTGAAGTAGATTTTTTGAGTCTCTTCCAATAGCACATCATTGGAGAACGGTTTCCCCCTGTATCTACCTGTTTTACGTACAGGAGTTTACATAGAGGGATTTATCATCTGAATGTCACTGGGAAGACGGCAAAAGAAACGGGGACAGGTGAGAGATTAAAGAGGGAAGGATGTGGGCAGATGCTCTTCCAGTGAATTTAAGATTAATTTGAAGTTTGCTATTTTGCTTTAGGATTCCTTTTTTTAGCAATGCGCTTAATATTTTTTAAAATTTAAAGAATGGGGAGCTAAAGGGCACATCTTTTTCCAAAGCTGAATTTGCTTTATAACCCTGTAGCTGTTACGGCTTGTGCCTAGCCTGTTTATGTTGTAACATTGATTGTTAAATTCATTGTCTTTAAGACATTTGATAGTATAGTATTAATAATGTTTCTATTTTAGAGCAGTTTAGGGCTACATAGCGTTTATACTCCCTTCTACTGTGCCTGCCCACAAGCATCCTGGGAAATTATAGTTTGAGGGTGCTGAGTACTTTTAGTAGGTGATCCCTTGCCAGCCTTTCCAAAACTACAGGTCCCATCATTCCCTTGGGGAAAGCACATGACTTGAAATCTGCCATATGGCCATGATATAAGGGATTAGTCGAATTAGGTGAAAGTTCTA